GATTCAACACCAGACATAACAGCAATCGTGGTAATATCGCGGGCGGCCGGTTCGGATGCGTTTCGGTTGTTTTTCGGTTATAACCTGGTAATATACAAACTATTRCACAATATACCTACCTAATATATGTACTATAATCAGTGTCGCAACTAGATATTTATCGTTGGTGGGTACAAAATCACAAATATTTATTGGACTCCGTCAAAATTTAACTTTGAAATCATATCAGTTGGGTATGTCAATATGTAAGTACGTCAATATATTAATTAATTAATCATAATAATATATTATATTATTTCAAATAAAACCAATCGTCCCGGAACGACTGGAAATGGAACCCTAGCACCACTGGTAGTTGCGTCATTGATTATAACCTTTGTTTATTATAGTATAATAGTCTACACGAACAACTCGCGTTTTGTTTCGATCGCCATTGCGGCTGTAACTACTTATATTATTTTTTGTTACACGTTTCTCATTATTATACTCACATGTCTCACATATTATACGTACCAACGGATTCACTTTAAAAGTGTCTTTGTTTACAGATCTGTATATACGAAACTGTGCGATTTATATTTATTATTTTATATATTATATTATAATGTACTCAACAATATATGAGCAATACTATAGCTGAGCTCGCAATAACGATACATGTAGGTACCTACATTATAAATACAAACTGTGACATATATATATATATATATAAGTATATAACTGTATAGTCTTTGTATATCGACACGAGACAATCGTTATCTCGCATTTACCAATATTGTATATAGTGAGAGAAAAGCAAATTATTATTCTAACGATTCAGCATCGAACCGTCGCGGTGTAGGTGTATTATACGTAGTACCTATATGATACCTATCATCATCGTTAATGTCTTTACTGTGGATACAAACCACAAATACTAAATAATTGTATTCAAATTATATCCACAATATATAATATTTTGCAGAAACATTATGTAGGTACCTTTTAATATTACTTTCGCGTGAATGACGTAAATATCGCTATTGTTTTACGATATAAATGCAAGATTATATTTATTTTGTTTAAACTATTTATTTTTTTATGATATTATTATAATGACTTGAAAAATAGCTTAGACTAAAAAAAATAACAAAATTTGTTTAAAACCGTATGTTACAAAATCATAACTGTTTTTGAATTATTTAACTTTGAAAGTTTCGAAACTAAACGTGGAATATTCTAAAAAACATATCCTTTAGAAAATCCTATAACATAGGTACACTTGTCACATCAATTTATTCATTTGACTACCTAACAATAACTAATTAGTTCTTTTATGTATTGATGTTTTTATTTCGTATTAAATTGCTCGTATATATACACAAGTATTAAATTGTATATATTTGAATACTACACCGCATTATTGTGTTGTATAAAATTGTGTATATAAACTGGCGCCTGCATAATATTATGATTTTATTGCGACCGTAATAATAATGATAATAGKTAATATGAAATCGTGGTGAGATGAGATCTTTTGATTCCTTGAGTGGTGAAATGCGATTACAATAATACAACCTTTTTTATGCGTTAACCGCGTTCAGGTAAAATACGGGACGAGTATTGTAAGTGAATACTAAGCCGTGGGTGTATACACCGCCTATAAAATATTTATAGGACATGGGTCAGGTGTTTTTGTAAGTGCAAAACTGCATGGATTCGAGGGTAAAACACAGGTAGATTTTCGCACGGCCAACGGTATTGAGTGCCATTATAATAACGTAAATCTTTAATACACACAGATATTCTATACATAAATTATATTATATATTATTATTGTACCCATCGGCCATCACGCATTTTAAAAGAAAAAATATTGGTTTTAGGGGCGTTGAAAATTGAAATAACTGGGGAAAGCACGTTTGAACCAATCGATAAATATCTAAAAATATAATAAAACTTAAACAGTTTGGACGTTCTTGTCAGTTGAGCATAATTTTTCATCATTCACTTATATATATTTCCTCTAATGGTGTTGTCTGTGCGGTATAGTAAAAAAATGTATACATACGTAACTCTGAAATAACAACGAAAGTTTAAAACGTTACAATCACAATTTAACAACGACAAGACCAGAGACGCAACTAAAGCCTATGTTGGAGGAGGGAGGGCTTTAGCCTTCACGTGATATTACACGAAAAGTTACCTTGCTTTCAAAAACAAAAACAAAAAAAATGAATGTATAATTGAATTATTACTGTATTATTATTATTACTATTATTATTATTATTATTATTATTACTGTATTATAAGAATCACTGTACCTATAGATATAATTTTTTTTTTTAAAGATTAAAAACAATATATTTTTAATAACTTAATATAATATAACGTGTAATGTGTAATGTGTTAATAATTAATACCTACCATTAAAATCGTGATTAAATTTTGAACCTTTTTAAGCTATTTGATTACTCCTGGGCCCTGACTTATTAAATTTTACTGATAAATCTTAATTACAATTAAATAAATTCATGAATGAGTTATTTTATTTTATGAAATTTCAATAAAGTTTCTGGATGRAATTCTATTTACTTAGGTCTTCTTTTATATTTAACAAATGTCATTAATTGTTGTGATAAAAATGTATCACTATATTTATGACATTTTTGAATTGTGTATCGAGTGAGTATGCGGAGTATAATGCGCAATGGTTTTTCTTGTGTTTCATGTGCGTTTCTAACAGCTATAATGTTTCYGGAACTGTCACTCGTTTGGTTATTTATTTAAAAAACACGACGYCTAGCACTTAAACCTACAGCAATAACTATTATTGTGCTCCAGTGTACAGCGTCTTTACGGCTTTTTGCTTTTAATAAGAGTATCAACTATCGATGATGATGGCCATGGAATTACTTAATCTTTAAAAAACAAAACTTAACGTTCACGAATTCTCAACATAATCGGTCCGGACGGTCCGTCAATGTCATAATGTTTTTCTGAACTCTATTTTATTCGTTACAGACCTAGTCTAAGACAATAACATACGGTATATTATAATTTATAAATTATAATAATGTGTAGACTAACCGTATGAACTAGAACTTAGATTTCAGATTTCTCCAGTTACCGGAGTTTTTTAATACCTTCAAATTTCTGAAACAAAAACGAAAATAAGTGATTGGAGCACATAAATGTGGAACTGATTYATTGGTTTTATTAATAAATATCTACTCGTATATTAAAACGCAAACTTTAAGATGGAATAAATTATTCTTATCATTCGATTTATCTATATGGCGTATACTCTCTATTCTATGTTGAATTTAAATAAAAATGTCTAACAAACATTAAACAATATAGAAATTATTTTTAAAGTTATGAAATAATACCTACCTAATATAGTCGTATCAAGAATTTAGGTTATAGACATAATCAGGCAAGAGTTTGAAAAGTTGGAACGGCTGGGAGATGGTAAAGCCATGCAAATACTTGCAGCTTACGTCTTTCACATATATTGCATTGGATAATGTATAATTAGTCATAAAAAATAATTGTTTTCCTTATTTGTGGCAATTATGAACTTACAACGTAGCCTCCTATTATACCTACTACAACTTACATGTAACAACTGATATAAGTAGGTATAAAATATATGAAGCACTACTACCGACTTCAAACTCCCAACAATTAAAACTTAGATACATGATCTCACAATAAACTTTTTCGACCCACTAAACAACGCCAAAAGYGCAAAACATTTCAAACTCAGTGATAAGCCTACCCTCCGGCGTCTCAAGCATGGACATCCTCATGATGCCCTTTCTCAACACCAATAAAATAAATAAAAAAATAAATTAYTCTTYCTTGTATTATTATTTATTTATCGATATAAATTACTGTAATGTGTTGTAAATATTGTAATTAATTTACACTTACCAATTATATATGTTATATTTTCTATTAAATTATCAATAATTTTGATGACCTTGAATTTCAGATAATATATATATATATATATATATATATATATTTATATTATATTATAATCGACGAATGACGTATTTTTTATATTATTATTTATTGAATTATCATTCTTATCTAAACCGAATATATGATATATTATAATAATATGTTTTATTTTTCCTCTCGTTCTATTTGGATTAAGGAGTTGTTACATGAGGGATATTTGCAGTATACTGTAACCAGTTAATGTACCAAGTGCTATTGCTTGAATGCCTTAAACCAGTCACTCGTCACTTGTAAATACATAAGCATGGTAGATGGGAGGGGAGAAGAATTTTCACATGAATGCATAAAAAAAAAATGCGTCCTATAGTTGCCCCTAATTTTTGTGGTAATATCGGTTAACCGTTAGGTATATATTTCTGTTTAAAACTACAAATATTTTCTACTCGTATAATTTTATTAGTATTATACGTATGTGACACTATTTTTGACCGTACTTTCTGCAGGACGTGATGTCATGCCGCCTTAAGATGTTTAGACGACTAATGGCGTTACATGAACAAATTAATCACAGTTGATTAATTCGTTTTTTKTAAAAAATTGGTTAACATTTTCTGGTTCATTGCAATTATAAAAAATCGTTTTATACTCACCAAAAAACATTGTTTAACAGTTTTGATGTATTTTCTTATCGWTTACACTAGAAAAAAAAAAWTGAAATTGAGTTACACGCCATTTACTATAACAAGATAGGTATAGTGATTTAGCAATCGTTATAAAACCCATCATTCCGTCGACTTCGTGGTGTATAGATTTACAGCACAAAAACTCACATGGTATATAGCCATATAGGTACATAGTTTGAGACGATATTTCGCGTTTAAAATTTCATTTCGCGTTTTCGGTGACGTTCTGAGAATTTATATATGTCGTATAACGAATGGGACGCCTGCCATGGCACTGCAGGGAGGAACAAGCGAATAGAACGTTTTTCTCAGTGTGTGTGTGTGCCCTTCACGCGATTACCCGAAACAATGAAATAGCTTCGGTATAGTACCTATATAGTTGTCGTAGGAATATTGTATTATTTTGTTCCACTTGGATAAATAATTTCGTTTTCCGCCTCGTATTCTTCGTTTTCCCGTCCTAACAAACGTCTATCTAGACGCACCAGTTGTAGTTCTAACCGAAAGACCGCACACGGTTATTTTTTTACACCATACCTACCAATATATGATAGATGTAATATATATTATTACCTACCAACTTTAGTCTTCGATGACGGCCGCAGTTCCGC